ACCATATAAAATACACATGAACATGTAGTCATTATATTATTATGGAAGTGATTTCGATACATTTATGTATCATGTTTTGAATGCAATAAGCAGTATGATGTGATGAATAAAACAATTATAACGCAATGAAGCTAATCAATTAATTTTAAATGGCCTGATTGCTGAACATTGAGGGAAAAGGTTGTATTGATACCATTTGTGAGTTGAATTGAAGAAATTTGAAGAAATGCATGAATGGCATTTGATTGTTATGGGAGGCAAATAAAATACTCAGTGAAGAGTTCTTCAGAAGCTCTTAGGAATGCAGATATTATTTCATTTCAGGCAGAAATGCCTTCCAGATGATGTTCTAGTGGAGATTCTAGTGTTGTTACTGCAGAACTGGTTATAAAAAAGTGCTAGAGATATTCAAATCCTAAACAAAACAGTAAGAAATGTTTTCTAGATGAATAGGTGCACAGAATTATTAGTTATAGTAGCCAACGGTCATTTCAGTATCAGGTTTTTCAGATAGGACCCCATCTTCAATTGATTTCGCATCATCACCTTCTTCATCTTGCTCAGTCAAAGAGACTAGATTTTTGTACTGTTGCAATATATGGTCAAATTTAAAAATACAGAAAATGCTCCTAATGCAAAGTGATTGATCAACATCAATGATTCCGTTAATGAGATCCCGCTCAAACATACGTTCATCTGCATATAATGAGATGTTTTGGATCTTTGGGATAAAAAAGATTTTCATATCTGATTTGTATCGAGGTCTTGCAACAATCTTTTTTATGAATAAGCTATTTGGCGTATCGTAAGGCTTACCAATGCTGTGAATCATGTCGTCCGCAAGTTCCTCGTCATCTATTAAGGAGTAATCCCCTGATCTGGCAGTTTCTAGTTTTAATATTACCGAACCGTCATTATCATTGGACGTAGACCGGGTCACTCTAACCAAAGTATAATCAGTAATACCAAATAGTGAGCTAACTGCTGTATCCAAGGAATTAAAAGTAGGCAACTGGGAGGAATTTTCATTGTTATTATCAACACCGTTATTTTTGCCAAATGTCCGTAATACCTTGGAAGAATAACCTGTCAAATCGACAAGGTTATTGTCGATCAACTGTATCGATTTCGACTTCAAATTTCGGTTTGTAATTGATGTTTCTGAAACTGATGTCTCCATATTTTTCGAAATATCGTCGAAAACCGCCTGATGATCCTTTATTGAAAACACCTGTTTTCGATTAGTATGAGGTACAAGTGAATTATACAATGCAAATATTGATGGAGCCATAGTAAGCTTTACTCGCATACTTGCCTCCAAGTACTTAATGTGCAACTTCGACGTATTCACGCCTGAAGCTTGCTCTGTTGGTATACTTTTTCGACTTGTCGATTTTCTTCGAATCGAAATCTGTACCAATTTTTTGTTTGCTAAGTACTTCTTACTGATTTTGCTTTTAGGCATATTACGCCGACCTTGGCTAGTTTCCCACATCATTGCCTGTTCATCCAGGCTAAAGGATGGTCTTGCTAGCGAAGTTGTTTTTCGGTGGCCTAATATTGACGAATCAGTAGTTGGCTTGTTTAATTCGTCCTGTTCGATGCCTTCGTCGCTATAATTCAATATGTCTGCTATTCCAACCATGACCCATATCAAATTTTGTTACTTTCGAGCGTCGTATTTTTTTAATTTGCCCTTGCTATTTGTATAAATCCTTTTTCTACAATTGGGCTAATTCCACTGTATGTCTCAAAGTTAAAAAAAATACGACTGACTTACCGGGTACATGCACTCTTAAAAAAACAAAACCCCAGTGGTGGAAGTCCGGTTTTTGCTAACAGATGAAAGGTCTTTACAGCTATGCATTGGTAGTATTTGGTGTAATTGTGCTAGAAAAGTGTCTGAAGAATCTACATGGTGTGCGCAGCGAGGTATTGATGGATAAATTTTTATGTGAGAAGTTCGGCTCATGTACGAGAAGGATTCAAAGCTAAGATAAAAGTTTATTTAATGGTGGAACTTAGACATATTGGGAGGGGTGATGGAGGATCATTATTGTTGAAAGTTTATTCAAATGGACTGAGACAAACAAATTGAGACAAGATACAAGTGAGGGGGACCAAATGATGTATACTGGAACGTGACAAGTAAAGGAGAGATGTTTGATTGGGTGTTGGTAGGGGAATTTACAAGTGGCATTAGTGAGCACAGGTTGTTATGCAATGTCTAAATAGGGATTACCGTATGGCGTAAGTATCAGAGGATGACTGTACTAATTGAGTGGTAGTGTACCTAAGCCGTAAGTACGTATGAGGTATATAACCATTGTCGCGGATATTTGCAGGGAGACTCTTAGTGCCAAAAACCGCACAAGCGAAGAGAACCACCACCTTAGCTAGGTGTGCAGTATGTACAGTTAAAATCTGAGACACGAAGAACCATGTAGTTTATTCCATTGGTCTATAGGGGAAATGCATCATGTGGAAGCATGTGCAAAGGTAATACGCTGAAACATGTCATATATTATTATTTCCGAATGACGGTTTGAATAATGTCATGTATATAGTTGAACATACAGAAGAATACAGAAAGATGCTGAAATTAAAGTTCTAGTGAGGTGAATTGTCTGTTATACTTAACAATATTGCCGTAGGGATGTTCTGCAAGTCTGCGCATAATTTAAACTCTATTCGACGGGAGAGATCGTCGTAGTTTCAGAGTGCGCCTTACATGGGGGGATCAAGTTACTTTTATCTGCATATCGGTTGCTGAGACAAGAAATCCTGATTCGGGGTTGTCTCGGCAGTGAGTGTTGTGGGTTGTGTGGTTTTACTATTGACTGGCTTTACTCGATTAACTGGATTTTCATGGTTCGGCTGGCTTGGCCGTGTGGATTTGTCTGATGAATTTTAACAAAAGCTAACTTTGATTTAAGTTCATGGGATAGACATACTTCGGATGAACGATTCAACAAAACGTATATTCGTTAGCCTTGTATAGGCGGTGCAAATAGAGAAGAAGAATTCATTTTGGGAGAAGAACTATGCTGAAGTAGAGATACCATATATAGAAATGGTATACTTAAACATAAACATGTACGTAGAAAACATAAAAGGGTATACACAGAAATGAAAGTTTGAAAATGTACGTAAACTTAAAAATGGAATACTATATTGCAGACATATCTGGTAGCTGCGAAATCATTTGGCGAAAGACAAAAGCCAATCTTAAGCAACCAGATCAGCAAAAGCAGAAATGTTATATAACTGACATACATAGAATAAGATACAGATAATTGCAGGAACATGTCTTGGAGCTTAAGATAACAGAAACTATTTGAGATTATAGTAGTTTCGAAATATTGAGACAAGGTAGTTTGACGAAAACATGACTCCATGGCTCCTACTACTACTACTATTACTACTACTACTACTACTAATCTAATACCAATGGATGTTATTTAGATAAACTAAATGCATGCTAGTCAATAATTTAAGGTATGATTATATTATGTATCTAAACTCTTAGTAATTAAAAATTAGAACCTTGATTGATATTTCTGTCCCTCACACCTAATTCACCATTCAAAAAGTCGTCATTACCACCTTTCTCATTTTTACGCCAGAAAGTCCACGATTTATTCTCCACTTGACTATTCCGTTTCTTCATGTAGTAGAACACAAAGGCTGCAATTGCCAATAAAATCGCTCCACCGACTCCTACCACAACTCCTACCACAACTTTGTTGGTATGCGACAATCCTCCGGAATCAGTATCTTTGTTATTAGATGACGAGGACGTAGGAGTGCTGCTTGCTTGGATCATCGATGTCTGCGTCACCACTACTGTTCTCCCATTGGCCACAGACTGAACTGTATGTATCACGGCATTACTATTAGATCCTGACACTGTTTGGCCATCAGTTACACTGGAACTGGCCTGGTTGTCGGTTTGCAGTGCAGAGCTTTCCTGTGTTGTTTCTGAAGCCCCACTACTGGCGTTGCTACTCGAGGAATCGGCCAGTGTAGTTTCCGACAGCTCACTGAAACTAGTCTCTGTTTCCGTGGCTCCATTATTCCCAGTCTCACTACTACTCTCGCCTCCCTGGCTTGTTTCCAGGCTCGAAGAAGTGTCAAAGCTGCTTGTAGGACTATTACTCGAGCTCTGGCTGCTCGAGGGCCACACCAGTGATGTGCTTCCCAGACCCGACAAAGAAAACGATTGTGAAGACGACAGCACAAACGACAGACTGGATCCAAACAAACTAGAAGGTGCTACCGAACTAGAAGTACTATTACTACCAAACCCATTACCATCACCGCCGCTATTATTGTCCTCATCTGCTCTCTTCACTATGGAGTCATAATTAGAAATAACGCCAAAAAAACTAGCAAACCAGTAGACACTTATTATCGAAACAACGACTGCGGTCGCCAACTTAATTCTGCTGTACATCTGTATATATCTCCTGTGTTATACTCCTATAATACCCTTGTTGATGTACTTTGTAGTTTGTTTCAACTAATTATAGATCTATAAAGGTAAAAATTTTGAAGTTTCCTCCTCGGGCACGTGACTTCACAGCCCCCAGGTCAATACTAATAATAGGCAAAAGCCCAGATCGTACGAACACCACAATGCAATATGTCATGTTATACGAGGGTACTGGAATGAATGAAGGTGGTATCGGTCTATGGGCCTGGCGATGACAAATCATATTTTGGTTTCGAAATCAGTGGCTTATTCTGACATATTGATAATCCGCTCCCGGAACATTCTAGAATATTCCGAGTTCCGTAAGGAGTAATAATTTATATACGTTAAGGAACAATCGGCTGCAAAATCAAAATTCTGGAACCTTCTACCCTATAGAAGACTTAGTATTTAAATACAAGTATTAAGAAAGTAAGAGGCATAATATTCTTAACAATTATCAATTACATAGATATATCTACACAAGATACAATGATTTCCAACAATTTCAACAATCAGTTATACTACATTAACCCATTCCAAGAAGATAGCTATTCTTACGGGATCAATGACTGCGCAAGAGACCAATACAATGATTACTTGAGAGAGTATGAGTTGAGAAGAGCTCTTGAGCAGCAAGTAAGACAACGCCAATTGCAACAGCTCAGAGAGTATCAAATGAGAGAGCTCAGAGAGCAACAGTTAGAACAGCTCAGAGAACAAGCCTTAAGGGAGCAA